CAATTCTTCATAACTAAATTAGCAAGGAAAATAAATTAACCATGAGCAAACCAGCCACTACTGAGAAATATGCGTTTGAAAAGAATACTATAATTGTCACTGATTTCGCACCGATACCAAACACCGAGGAATTTGTGAAGATACACACACACATTTTATATGACAAAACTACTCTGGTTAGGGATGTACTGATCAAAGCAATTGGTAATCTTGCACCTGAGATGGAACACAAATATGGATTGCATTCACTCAATGATAAAGGGCAAGAAGTTTATTTAAATTTAAATGACCGAATTGAAAAGCATGTTAACAGTAACACAAAGAGTTTATTTTGCAGTCAGTAACAAAGCTTGGTGGGTTTTATCCTGCTAAGAATAATCAGCGAAGTAATTGCAAGTGTTCCATGGTCAAGGCCACAAAGCTTTGAGGAGAGCACTAGTCGACCAATGTTAAAGGTGTTGTGGTTTGACCGGGGCACTAGTTGTAGTGCCCAATACACATTCCAAGCCACTATCTTCATTTTTAAGCTTCAAGATTGCCCTCATGGCTACTATACACATTGTTGTTATAGTTGGCCAACATCAAACAGCAATATTATATTCACAGCACTACTACACACAGTGCTGCCCGATTTTTCAGTTCCCAAGTAATTTTTGTATACTTGAATATAATAATTTAGATCCGGATTTTTCTAGAGTATTACTGTAATGCGAATTGTACTGGTTATAATATATATTAATATAAATGAGACTACGAAAAGAGCCAAAGAGCTCACTATTCGGAATTCGCTGTGCACATGAAATATAACCATATTTCACGTGTCTGTGCTGTCACGTGACTAAGCCCCTATTTTTGATGTCACAGCCAGGGTGCAGAATGTTAGAATAACTGACACTATAGAACTTAAGAGTAGAGATGTGGAAACCTTGTGTGCTTGAATACTTGGTGGGGATCAAGCTGGTATGTCACATTGGAGAGCCACTTAAGAATCTTGCATGGGCTGTGTAATAAAACTTATAGTGGATTTTATTTAATAAAATATAGTTAGTACGAATAAGGGGGCTTAAAGAGCTCCGCTTATCTATTCAAAACTATCAACAGTAAAAATAAAAATTGCGATTGTCACGTGACATTGCAATAATTGATGTCACAGGCTGGGTCGATGGTCACTCAAAACTTGTCAGGTAGGCGCCGGTGCTCAAAGTAAGTGTTCAAACGAGCTGCACTGCTTATGACCAGATCTCCTTCCTTAAAAATGATGTTGCAGATGAGATTGGTTGACTTGAGCAGCCATGGCATCATGGGTTATGGCCAAATTATCCTGGATATGACAAATGACCTGATTGTGCTGCTGCATGAATTGGCTCGGTGACTGCGGCTGTAGAGTGGGATTGCGGATCTGACAAATGGATTTGGACATGATCGCTGTTGGAATATTAGGGAACTTTCTATGAACGTGTAGATAAAGTATAATGCTATAAAGTTTATTTAATAACAAGTGCTATGCACTGTGTGAGGTAAAGAGAAGAGAGAATATTGCTCTGGTCACTTGCGTAACTTATTGTTTGTGTGGCTAAACAGCCAAGACTGGGTTAATCAGTTGATCGCCATCAACCAATAATCGCCTTGTGACTAAAAACGACATAAATGGGTGAATACTCAGTTGCAAGTTGTTTTGCTAAGCTAATTGCAAATTTGAACGATGGCAGTAGCTTGCCCTAGTTTTTCTATTGGCAATCCACATAAGCGGGAATCACCTGCTCAATTTACAGATACTCCGAGTTAAGCAAAGGGTTTTTAAGCACTGCTCCATATTCACATTGTAATCCCATAAGTTGTTGAATTCAGCCGATTGGTCGACTATATGAAGATTTGGCGCAGGAATTATTCAATTAATTGGTTTTTTCTTTTTTCCTTATCATTCTTTAAAAAGTTGACAGGCCTGTACTAACTACAGCAATTATTTATTCATTAATGCTAATGGTTTTATTCTCAAGCTTGTCACAGATAAACCAAAAAAGAAAATGCATTGTTTTCTTTTTTGGCTGACAACTTTGAGAACCTGCATTTGAATCACATGTGTGAATGTGGGGTTAGTGTGTCAGACAAAACCCACCAAAAAATTATTAATTTATTAAGAAAAATAAGAAAAAATAAGTCTAGAAATTATAATTGCCCATGTTAGTTTTTTATTCTTTTTTTTCTAAAGTCAAATTACATCTGTGGGAGAGAACTTTCTAGATATCGGTGCTGTTGGTTTAATGTTAGAGTTAAAGTTGGGTGTAGGTGTGGTGGGTGGTGGTAAGTTGGCGATTTGGCGGAAGATTCTTTGGCGTGTTTGGATCATAGACTCGGCTGAAATAAGGCTTTTGGTTAAAAGTGATCCTTGATTGTTTAGCGCCTGGCTGTTTGCGACAAAGTGTTTTTCAGAATGGTAATTCCTGTCCATTTTCGTCTGTCAATTAAAGAAATTTAAAAATATAATATAATAAAAGAAAGGAAATAATTCACAACACTAAAAAAAAGCAAAAGCGAAAAAGGTTTTTTTTTTAATTTTTTCTCACTGTGCGTTATCCTTGTAATGCTTCAACAAGACCCTCTTATATTCCACCTGGTCCTCCCACAGCTGTGCAGCCTGTCCATTCAGGGGACTATCCGGGTTCGGATCCCCAAGCAAAGTCTGCAATGACAACAAAATAGTCTGCACATTATACACTGCCGACCACTTCTCCTTCAAAATATCCAAGCAAATATTTCCTCTCTCGTCTACATTAGGATGCCAGCAAGGCGTGTCAAAGGTAATTGTGGGGCTGTGAACGGGTAGTCAGAGGGGAAAACGAGGTGGAGCTTGTATTTGAGTCCAGCGTATACTGTGCCTTCGGCTCCTTCAATGGTGCCGGCCCAGTTGAGCATGTTGTCGGAGTGGGGGAAGGCGGAGATTCCACTAAGCTTGGACATCATGAGGGTCATGAGCTCGCTTTGGAGACGCTTGGATGTGGCTGCTGAGAGAGGTGCGGTACTGGATTGGGCGCTCATTTTTTGTTTGTTGGAATGAGGGTGTGTGAATGTAATAATTTATGTGGCAATTAGTCAGAATGAAAAGAGAAAGAGAAAGAGAAAAAGAAGACTGAATTTCTTCAAACAAAAACAATAATAGCAATAATAGTAGCAACAATAATAATAATAATTAATGTTTTTTTTGTTTTCCTATTCTTCCTGTCTAAAATATTTATTAGCGGATTAAATTTTTCTGCCCAAAATGATTATTAATTTGTATTTTCATTCATTACCCCGCCTCTCCTCAAACCGGCGCACCAGCGCATCCATCCTCTCGACCAAAAACGCGCCCGTTCGCTTATCGTACACCAACGGCACAGCATCAACAAACGGGGCTCCCCATCTATCAACGCGACTGTGGTACTTCATATTCGAATCCAGCTGACCCTCACTCACACCGAGCAAAACACAGGCCTCACAGGCGTTCACCGACGAAATGGTAAACCTCGGGATGCTCAAGAACAAGCGACAGAGATAAAAGGCGCACAAAATAACCCACTCCAACCAAGCCTGTCCGAGCCCAGCCAAGAAGTTCGAGCACACGTTTCCGGGCTCTGCAACTAAGCAGCGAACGCCCCTTTGTGCCAATCTGCGGTCCATGGGGATGGCAATTTGATCGACGATGTATTTGGACGACTCGTAGGGCTTGGCGCCCAGCACGTGCTGGTAATCCGTGCGCAAGAACTCCAGCTGCGACGCCGCCGAGCCGGTCCAAATAACGCGCGCGCCGCCGGTGCGCTCCAAAAGCCCGGCCAGCTTGTGCACCAAAAGGTAGTGCCCAAAGACGTTGGTCTGGAAAGTCAGCCCGAGCCCATCAGCAGTCACCAGCCCGCGTTTCTGGTACAGCGCCTCGGATGATTCGAAGAACGCCACTGGGTGTGTGAGGATACCCTGAATGATCCCCCAGGGGTTCAATCCGGCAATGGCCATTGCGCCGGCGTTGCAGAACAAGCGGTCAAGGCGAGAGTATTTTTTCTCGATGGCTATGGCAGCGCTGGTCACAGAGGCTACGCTGCTGGTGTCGATCTCCACTAGTTGTACGTCGCAGAGGTCTTTGTTTGCGAGGTGTGGTTGGAGGAGCCCAGATATGGCCTTTTGTGCTTTGAGAGGGTTGCGGCACCCGAGGATGATGGTTTGCCGATGGCCCTGGGCGATACTGAGCGCGAGGAGACGCCGCGCCAAAGCTAGGCCAACGCCGCTGTTGCCGCCTGTGATCAGCACGACTTTGGGAGAAGCGGGTTGAATTGAGGGAGGCATGATTAGATTACTAAAAGCAGTTTAACAAGAATAATACAAATGAAAGTGGGAATAAGAAAGAGCGCGTTTTTGTCAAATAAGAGTTCAAAGCAAAAGCCCATTGGATTTCACATGTAGAGCGTGATTCCCGGATTAATGGCGCGCACAGAGTTTGATCAGAGCAGGCATGCCAAGAACACGCATAGAGCGCCACCAAAAAGCGCCTTTTTCGTCGGGGCTCTTCCTCTTGCTCCTCCTCATTCTTTTTCTATCTTTTTCTCTGCTCAGTCCGGGTAGAGCCAGATTTTTGTATTATTCTTTTTTCCTGTGCATGCGTTCAAGGCATCAATTACTAACCATCGCAGCATCAACTGCACGGAACCACCACCAGCACCCACACTACTACCAGCACAAGCGGCGACACAGCGGTATCAATATGGACAGCGCAATGAGTTTCAGCAAAACAACGCTTCGTCCCGGCACCACCGCAGCCGAATGGACCACAGCGCTCACCTTCAATGACACTTTCACAAGCGAACTTCCAGGCGACCCACTCGTGCCACAAGCGCCGTACACGCAGCACCCAGACGGCTCCTCCGGCTGCATCGCCACGCCCGAGGCGCATTTCCGCGGCTCACGCACCGTTCGCAATGCACTTTGGAGCCACGCGATCCCGGCCGACCAGCCGTCACCGCGGCTCATAAGCGTCAGCGAGCCGAGCGCCGCACTCCTCGGCCTGGCCAAGCAGAGGTTCTGGGCCAATGCGCAGGCGGCAGCCGAGGTGTGGAGCGGCGCCCGTAGGCTGCCTGGGTCGCACCCCTGGGCGCACGCCTACGGTGGCCACCAGTTCGGCATTTGGGCGGACCAGTTGGGCGATGGCCGGGCGATCTCGCTCGGCCAAGCAAAGCCCGCTGGCACCGGCGCGGTTTCCTGCTGGGAGCTGCAGCTGAAGGGCGCCGGCCGCACACCGTATTCGCGTTTTGGAGACGGGTTTGCTGTGCGCAGATCGAGCATTCGCGAGTTTCTGGCCGCTGAGCATATGCATGCGCTGGGCGTGCCGACGTCACGGTCGCTGGCGCTGGTGTTTACTGAGCGGCCGGTGCAGCGCGAAGAGCTGGAGCTCGGCGCCGTTGTTACGCGGATGGCGCCGTCGTGGATCCGATTCGGGTCATTTGAGCTGCCGGCGTCGCGCAAAGACCATGCGCTGGTGCGCCGCCTGGCGGACTACGCCATCAGCCATCACTTTGATCACATTTTGCTTACGGGCAGTGCCTCGGGCGGTGGGGAGAGCCCGTATGCGCTGCTATTGCGCGACGTTGTGCGGCGGACGGCAGTGATGGTCGCTCGGTGGCAGGCTGTCGGGTTCTGCCACGGCGTCATGAACACTGACAACATGTCGTTGCTCGGGCTGACCATTGACTACGGGCCGTTTGCCTTCCTGGACGCCTACGACCCGGATTTTATCTGTAATCACTCGGATACCCAGGGTCGCTACGCGTTCCGCGAGCAGCCGCGGGTCGCCCTGTGGAATCTCATGCGGCTCGCCGGTTCGCTCTCGACACTGATCGACGGCGCTTCTGAGCCACCTGCCGAGCCTTCGCCGGAAACCGTCAATGTGATCACAGACATTCTCAACTCATACGCTGGCTGCTTCAAAGACGAGTATGCGCGCGTAATGTGCGGCAAATTCGGGCTTACAGTGGGGGGGCGTGCGGATGACGTGGCGGCGGTGGTGCAGCCGTTTTTGGAGCTGTTGGAACGTGGGTCCACTGACTACACCTTTGCCATGCGCGCACTCTGCGATGTGGCCTCTATGGGCGCTGATGCGGATGCGCAGCTGCTTGACGCGCATATTGGCCAGATGGCTGCAAGGTCGCGGTCGTTCACGTGCATGGATTCAACCAAGTGGCGCGCGGATCTCCGCCGCTACTACGTTGACGTGTACTTGCCGCGCCTGCGCCAGGAGGGTAAGGGCGATGCGGTGGGTGCGCGGATGCGAGGCGAGAATCCGCGCTTTGTGCTGCGCAATTGGGTTGCGCAGGATATCATTGAGCGTGCGGAAGCTGGCGATGAGCAGGTAGTCGATCGGTGCTTGGATTTGATGACGAAGCATGCTTTTGACGACGAGCTGCCGCAGAATTTGGCTGAGTTGGATGTGTACGCTGGGCCTGTGCCTGAGTGGGGCGAGGGCCTTCAGTGTAGCTGCAGCTCATAAATAAACAGAACATTGTATCTTATGCTATTTTATTCGCGCAATTGAATGCCTATTGTTTGCTTTTTGTTGTGTTTTTTGATTTGTTTAAACGTGTTGGAAAAAGGGCCGTGCTCGGCTAGTACTAGTAAAGCTGGTGTTGAATGCAAGCATTTGAAAGCACTCTTTCGAGGAGAATACTTTCTGCATCGACGTCGTCATCAGGACCCGAATTCGCATCCGCATCGGGATCCGCATCCGCATCCCCACCCGCACCTGCACCCTCCACTTTGCATATCATCTCGCCTTCATAATAATCGTATCTGTGGTTCTCAGAATAAACCGAATACGCAGCGTGTTCTTCGCGCCTTTCGTCACCAAAACACAACTGCAATGTGGTTTTCACCTGACAACTTCCCGAATCCACTTCACCCCACTCCACCACAGTATCACCTTCGTCATTAGTATTGTTAATACCATCGCAATAGCCCAGTCCTTGCTCACCTGCCCGGTGCGGCCACACTATTGTCTCTTCAACTGCTTCCGACGGATCCAAAGCTCCACCATCCGTGGACTGGCACATTTGCCGCTTCATGCGTGCATAGTAAAAGTTTTTACTGCCCCGACCTCGGTTGGTTTTCTCTGTATAAAATGTATATTTTTCTGACTGTGGATCACGATTGAACGAGTGAGAGGGACTTTCGGCGTATTTAACGTAGGGAATGCACTGCAGTAATGTTTCTTGATCCATGGTATTTGTATGACTGCTGAAAATTTTAGTTAAAAAATTATAAAGAAGGATGTGGATTTACTGCATAATGTTTTTTATTTTGTCTATTTCACTCCACATAAAAAAAGTTTCTTAAAAGTTGTTTTTGCTGCCCAAAGCTGTATGCGCGCATAATTGCGTTTTTTAAGAACTGTTGCAATAAATGCTATTTTTAAAACCAGCTTTTATTCTTATTCCTCCATTCACAAAAACAATCAAAGCACAAGCCACTCAGATGATCCACAATAAGAATCCAAAAAATAAAACGATATTGATACCATACAATGTTAATATTGCTACAATATGGAAATATGGAAAAAATATTATCAATACAGAAATATTAATACAAACATTTGAAAATTGAAATTATTTTATTTTATTTCGACTTTATATATTTTAAATATATATTTTTTTCTTGCAACTAAAAATATAGTGTTTGCTAAAATAGCAATTATCACCACCACCCCCTTTCTCTCGCCTAATTTATGTTCTTTTTTACTTTTCTTCCCCCCCCCCCGCATTCACACATGTCCAGTCGATTGACGTCGTGGACAAAAGCCATACACCAGATTTAGAAAATATTTAACAGAAAAAGCAGTGGCTTATTTGTTATTCCCTGTTATATCTGCTATTATTTTCTGTATCAATTTTCTTTTTTCTATTTCACTTCTTCTTCTCTTTTTCTTCCTTTTTAGGACTTATTTTTCCTTCGTACATACTGTTTTCACTACATCAATACATTTCATAACAAAATATTATTTTCTTGTTTCTTTTTCTTATTATTTTGTACAAACATAGAAGCTATTTTACTCTACACTTTTTTTTGTCAATTAGCTGCGCTAAGACCGTCGTTTTCTCTCTCTATCGTTTCAGTCTCACGTACAAACCTCTCTTAAACAATCCCGGTCTATATTTCAACCAGAACCCATTCATCTTTATTATTTCAACAGAAACAGAAACAACTAACCAAAAAATGACAGCCAAGCGGTGGTGGTCGCCATCACACATGCTCCCTCTCTACATCCTATTATCTATTATTCCATTTGCAGTGTACGCTACTGCCAACACATGCATCACCAACGGTCATTCACTGAATCGCAGGGCCAATATACCTACCGACAGTAGCAGCTTGTACAAAGCAGCGCTATTCAAACGCAAATCTTTGAATGATGCTGCTGCCTCTGCCTTGGTAGTGTCTGGCCGCCAGTGCACATCCGATATGCAATGTGTCGGATACCGCAACGGTGATCACGATAAGCCTCAGGGAATGGGTAATGCTCGTGCTATTGATTCGTCGAGGCGAAAGGCGCGGCTAGGAGAGTACGCGTGTATTGATGGCACTTGCCGTTATGTCGTTAAGTCTGGTAAGCATGGGGTGCTATATTTTTTTATATCTTGATTAGTTTGCCATGCTGTGCTTTGTTTGTTGTCTGTTCCCTCCCCTCCCCTCCCTACTCTTTATTTTTCTTTATGGCCATGCGGGTATAATCGTTTATTTTATCCACTCTAGTTTTTGAATTATTCTCGGTTATCTCATTACCGCCACACTTTATCCCATGGCTTATCACGCTTGTGGCCACAAAGTATTTATTTATCTTGGCCATGCTACACATTTTGTATATTGCTTTTTCATACATTTACTTTTTTTGCTTGAAGGCACGTGAAAATTCTTAAATGCAATATTGCCGCTCGTGATCTACTAACTAAACAGTTATCGATAACCCCTTTGT